CAATGCCCGAGTCTCGCTGCGGAACCAGCCCGGGATCGTCATAGCCCAGGTCATATGGCCAGGGCTCGCCGTTTCCACCGGTCTTGCTCCAGACCTCGCTGGTGGACCGCTCCGGGGTTCGCCATGGGCCGCGCCAGGCAGCTTGGCTTCGACGTTCTTGTCCAGCTATCAGCCTCGCTCAGCTCGCGCTGTCTCGCGCCAGCTCGTGACTTCCCCGCCGACCGCCTGCCACATGCCCTCTGCCTCGTCCTTCACTCTCGGCTCCCACACTCTCCCCCCCTCAAGGCCCGGACTTCGGGGGACTTCATGGGCCTCAGGGAGCCGCTGGGCTTCATGGGCGGCCGCTGTTGCTGTTGCCGGAGTGGCCAGGTTGCAGCGTCCGAAAGCGGCGTAGGTGGGGGTGGCTAGCGAAGCCGTCAGACAATGCCGACCTGTGCGTCGCTCGCTGTCCCACTCACCGCGATGAATCATGATTATCGCGACTGTCGTGACCAGTCGCGCCTCCGCGGTGGTTAACCGTGGAGGCGCGACTTTTTTCGCTTGGCCCACTAAACGATATGCTATTAGTGAAATCCAAATCTAAATTCATTTATCCCAGCCCACAATTCGTTTCATGAACCCTTTAAATAAACACACAAAGAAATTAGTTTAATATGATTGCTCACACAATGTGACACTGCATTACCATCAAACCAGAAGCAGGGGATACACAAAACATCACATAAATTGTTTTTTTTTTTTCTTGATCGGTTTTGAGATGGGTTTTGGCGAACACGCTTGAGAGCTCTCTTTAATTTTTGCAGCTACTCTATGTTATGAAGTCTTCGTGAAGCTCATCAAGTATCTTTAATAATAATAATAATAATCAATCAATGTTTACTATAGGGCCGAGGAACAACTTTACGGCCTTGGTACCAGCACACTAGATGGAATTGAATACATAAAACGCACAAATACAGAAGAGCAACGCACTAAACAGTAACTGCATATAATCATGCACGACATACACTGAGCTGAATGATAACCAAATACAATTTCTAGGACTTACGTACGATGATGCAAAATTGCAGTAATGTAAAAACAAGTTATAGAGGCACTCCCAACGAAAAATAGACGAAGCAGTAGCACAAACACAGGCCCAACAATGTCTGTGCTCTCCGAAATCAATCTTAAAGTGAACCACAATCATTATTCACCCGTCGGACAGGTCTTCGATAGAAATAATAAATGCCCTGAAGCACGAGTTAAAAATATCGAGTTTCTCAAAGTACTGGTTACAATGGTCAGTTTAACAATTGGGCTTAAAAGATAAAAATGTTTGGAATTATAAAATGATGAAAGATTTCGAGTAGGCACATGTGGAACCCTTAGGCACACTTCAGACAATAATAGTAATAACACTGTTTCCTTACACATTACACAAGCTGTTCGGAACTCCAGCAAAATAACAAATTAGACATGAGGTACCCAGTGAGCGTAAGGTTTTACTACCATAGTATGCGACGTTATTTCTCCTTAGATAAATGCTTTTGCCGGTACAAAAGGATTTCAGCCAGAGGTCTTTAATTCGTGTGATACACGACAGCACCCTGGAGCTACCATTAACCAGATAAAAACAAGGGGTGGAGCTTAATAGTTGGATCCCTGTGCTCTGCCGTGTAAGGCTAGGCTCTACTAACTCCAAGCTGCGAATCGGCAACCACTAGAATCTTTTTGATGGGACATCAAAAATATAATTATTAAAATGTATTCAATTCTGTTTTTTAGAGCGCAGCTCTTAGGCGCTCGTTGCCGTTTTCTGCAGAGTCGGCGTCTCCGTCGCCGCCGGCGTAACCGGAGGAAGAGGAGGACGAGGAGGGGGGGGTCCTCCTTACCCTCTTCTACTCCTCCTTATATATTTAATATTATAATAAATTATATATATATATATATATAATTCATATTATGTACGCAGGAGTACGAGGTCTATATTTATATATATATAGATATTTATTCCGGTATTTTTTAATACGGTATATCGCAAAATCAAAATACCTCAAGATCTGCGCTCTAATTCCGCATTACGAAGATTTGTAAATATCTTTCTTTTTTTTTAATTACAAGCGAAATATATTTTATTTAGCCTCCTCTTCACTCTAATGTTTGTAATTTAATTTGGGACGTAAAAAACAAAGGTAATTAAATTTTTAGAAAAAATATTTAGTTTTGATTCTATATAAGACTTAAGGGTATTCCATATTTTATACACAGGAAAACCTTATTTGTCAATTTCCTAGGGAACACCCGCAAAAACAATCTTACGGATCTTTTTTTTTAACCTACGTACGCCTCCCGACTTTTAATAAGATCGCGCGAACGCCGACCGGCAGGTAGACCAGCGCCTTATTTTGGTGTAAAACAGCAGGCCAGAAAGACTACGCGCGTGTGGCGCAGGGCACACGACTAGCCTTGCTGACTTGCTGTTTCACGCCACGATATAAGGCGCTGATCAACCGGCCAGTCGGCGTTCGCACGATATTGTTAAAAAGTCTGGAAGCTGTACTTTTACATATTTAATATGTCCTGCATTTGAAAAGTCCCTTGATGCCCACTATAAAATATGCAAGAAAGCCGGTGGCCCAAACTGTATAATAATAATCTTTATTTTGGGGTGCCCAAAAACAACCGCATTGGTCTTCTTATTGGTGCACCAACACAACAAGCAAAATGAGCAAGCAAGTACATACGGTCTAAACATTTACTAAAAAGATAAAACATCCAAGACAAACATAATGCTAAGGGCTAGAATAATATCATTTAAATCACGACGGTACACAGAAATTTATGCAGATATATCAAGGTGGGGTGGAGCGACGGTATTATATAATGACTGAGTCCGTAAGAGAGGTGAGGTGTTACATGGCGAGCGAACATCAAAACAAACAAAGTGTCTAGTTACTCGGAATGGAATATGAAAGTTCACTTTTGCAAGGAGTTGAGCCGAATCAACAGCGCCATTCGCAACCTTGTGCAGGAAAATTAAATCAAGAACAGTCCTCCTTTTAGACAGTAGAGAAAGAGATAACAGTTTCCTTATATATTCATACCTATAATAAAAGCGCCGCTCAAAGCATCTATCATAAACAATCCGGAGAAGTCTTTTCTGAACATTTTCTATGCTCATAGCCTGTGTGTTAAAAATCGAGTTCCATACGACAGAAGCAAAGTCCAGTCGTGACCTCACTAAAGAATTAAAAAGGTTAACCAATGAATGAGGGTTTCTAAAATTACGCGTCGAACGAGAAATTACCCCTAACGCTCTAAAAGCACTGCCTACGACCAATGACACATGATTTCTAAAACATAAAGCGCTGTCGAAACACACACCAAGGTCCTTTAAGATTGATACACGCTGTATTGGCGATCCATCGAGGTAATAAGTAGACTCAAAAACAAAATGCCTATGGCAAAAAGAAATCACTTCTGGTTTTTGGGGGTTTAGCAGGAATTGATTGTTTTTACACCACTGAAGAACACTGGTGACGTTACCTTGTAGGACATCGCAATCTTTAAGACTATTAATGCTTTTGAACAACTTAAGGTCATCAGCAAAAAAGAAGTAGTTCGGAACTGTTTACGCAAGACACAATATCATATATGAAGATCAAGAACAAAAGAGGGCCCAGTATTGATCCCTGGGGAACTCCGGACGACGAAAAGCAATTTTCAGAGAAACAGTCACCAACCCGAACCGAGTTTGGGCGCAGTGACAGATAACTGTCAAACCATTCGCATAATTCAAGACACACTCCATATGAAGACAGTTTACGCAAGAGTAATTTATGGCTCACTTTGTCGAACGCTTTAGACATATCAAAATGTATTGAGTCGACTTGTCCTCTATTAGCCCCAACTGGGGCAGAAAAGTCTAAAAATGTACATAAATTAGTCTCGACTGACCGGCCACTCAAGAAACCATGCTGCAATGAAGTTATTTTTTGTCGGAAATTAAATAGCATTCTCATACGGATGACAAGCTCGAAAACTTTCGAAAAGCCACAAAGCAAGGAGATTGGGCGATAATTTGTGACAAGAGACGCATCGCCATTTTTAGAACCAGAACGACCACCGACCTTTTCCAAAGAGACGGAAATGTTCTCGAACTAAGAGAAAGATTGACGATATGCTTTAGAATCGGAACGAACAGTTTACTGCATCCTTTGATAATAAAACTTGGTATCCCATCCGCGCCACTGGAAAACTTCGGTTTCAGCTTTTTAATCGCTTCGGCGATTTCAGCTGAATCAACACGCATAGATGACAAAAAATCATGACAGTATAGGAAATTGTCACCAGGCTGAAAAGATTGGTTACCGAAAGAAAAACAATTTTAAAAATAATTCGCGAACATGTTTGCAACCTCAGCGGGTGCAGATTGATAACAAGGAGCATTATCTCACCCACCACGCACGCAGATAGTGCGAGTAGCCTCACGTGTATGAAGTTTTACAAACTTCCAAAACGTCTTCGGTCGATGATTTACACTATTTTTCACGTTGTCATGATGTAGACGTTTACCACGCTTGAACAGTTTTTTCACTAAGGAACGATATATGCTATATATTGCGTACCAAAGATCAGAACCGGTCTTTTTATAAAGTCGGTGAAAGTGATCTTTTTTTCTTAGGTTAAGCCTTAATTCTTTAGAAAACCAGTTAAGAAATATCGACGGCTTGTTGTAGCACTTAGGAATAACTTTCTCGATAGCACTTTTTACAACAATTAAGGTATACATGACAATTAAGGTCCAGGCAACAAAATTTGAATATATGATAGCACAAACAACAATTCGGTGCTAATAAGTATGTTACTTGTTTAATTACGGTACGCAACTATGTTACACATTTTTACTGGCATTTTATTTCGGTAAGCCGCGGTTATAGAGTGTTATATTTAATATAGACCTTTTAATCGTGTCTAGGTAACAATTAGAATAGTATATATGAAGTAAAAGCACTCACCTGAAGGTTTTGATACATGCAAAACAGTGCACTGTTGTACGCCAGTGGAACTTTTGGTACAACAAACTTTTTAGCTTCCTCTATGCATTTTTGGTTGACGTACGTGCTCGGAACATCGGGAAAAGAGTTTGTGTAATATGGACTGATCAATAACGCTATGCATAAATAAATAACTTTCAGCAAAATCATTTTGTTGGGACTGAAAGTCTGTCTAAGCTTTCTTACACTAGCACTTGAACATTCAGTCTTGCTAATGGAAGTAAAGATACTAGCTGACGCCTTTATTAAATACGTTCAATGCCATAGGATTTCCGTTTCTTGACCTTAGTTTTTTGTAAGCATACATATCGCAGGTGGAGCCAACAAAAATTAGAAAAAAAAATCACCTTTCCTGTGAGCCCACACGGGCTAACAATAAAGGTTATTTTTCATTTACGTCAGACAACACCCGCTATGTGTATGCTTCCAGAAAGCTAAGGTCAAGAAACGGGAATCGTCAGCGTCAGCTTTACAACTTGCACAGAATGGTGACCTTTCATGTGGGCATTGAATTGTTTAATGCCAATATACACACGTATGGCAAGAGTTTAACTATCCCTTCAAATATAATATAAAAAAGAGCAAAAGAGCACTGTGGTTGAAATATGAAAAGGAATTCATGAGCAACCATCTGGACAGGGAAATTGTCTAAGCACGGTATTGTTTTTTGTTTTAGTTTTTTTACGTTCAAGTACACCGAACAGTGTTCGTGCGTCATGCTCTGCTGAATAACGTTAAGGGTAAAAATCTGAATATCAGCAAGCGTACTTTTGCGTACTCGAAACGCGTGTACATGATTATGGTAAAAACAGCGCTATAAGACAAGGACAAAGAGAAGGATCATACACAACTAAACAGGCGCTGAAGCACAACAATGTGATTCACTACGACAACAAAACGAAGAAAGATTGCGGAGGGCAAGTTCGTCCGCTTCTTGCGCAGGGGGTAGCGGTGGCGTCAGAACGCCCAGCCCTGCTTGGCTGATCGCGACCCCCTATCTAAGCGTCGTCTGCTCCTTTGCAACGTCGTCTGCTCCTTTGCAACGTCGTCTGCTCGCAAGGTCGTCTGCGTCTGTCTTACCTTTCCTGCGACTTTCGAAAGTGCAGGTCTTTACGAGCGAGCTCGACTTCGCCATTCAGAGAGGGCAGACGAAATAACTCGAGCAGTACGTCATTTTTGTCTAACAACTAGCAGACGCGCATCAAGGAGAGAAGTCAAAGGACTCACTGACGAGGTGTCCCGGGTGTTCCGAGGCGCCGAGATTTGTTTGCTAAGAACCGAGACTGAGTGTGGTTAGTGTCCGCAAGTTCCCTCCAAATACTTCACGAGGTTCCCTCCCAAATTCGTTTTCCCTCCTTTCGTGTGCGGCGAGACTCCTCACACTTTAACGGCGTCGGCGGGTTGGCGAGGTTGGCGCAGTTAACGTCGTCTGCTTTACGTCTGCTAGTCAAAGCGATGGCTGCTTTACTTTTCCTGCGTCTGTCGGAGATTCACCGCTTTTCACCGGCGAGAACGCGGCCTTCGAAAAAGGCAAAAGGAAATACCTTGAAGTATACGTCTTTTCTCTTGAGGTGAAGGATTTCACTCTAGTTGAGAATGTCCAGGCGTTGTTTAAGAATTGTAGCTACGAGGTAAAGATGACGCTCTCCGATAAAGGTGGCATTTTAGAGAGTCACTGTTAATGCCCTCACGGGCCGCAAAGTGCAGCCACACGGTGGCTACCGCACTTTACGCGACTCTAAATGAGCTGTCCAAGATGGACCTTCCACAGCAGTGGCTGCAACGCCCCAAGAGCAGCATGCCGCGGCAGGTCGCTCGCTCAGGTAAGAAGTAAACAACATGTTCATCGCTATGTTAAAACGTCTTGCTGCACGAGCTTCGTGAATTTACCTCGCGTTTAATGAGTTGTTCAAAGATAATCAGCTAAAGACAGATGACAGCCGATGTAGTGACTGTAAAAAAAAAACGTGGCTGTGCGATCGGTACTGTGAGCACATCATAGTCCAAAAGTGCTCGATCGATGCGTGCTGTCATAACTTTTTCGCTGGACTAAAAGGCTGTTGTCAGTTAGTATATTGGGGTATGTGTGTGTGGCGTAAACCCAAGTGGAAAAAGTTTGAAAACCTGTGCTAATCTGTTTAAGAGAATCCGAGCAAAATCGATTGAGCTACCCGAGCGGCGTCGAACGTATCGCGGAAGTTATGTCGTGGACTCGTTGATACCAAGAAGTAATTATTGTTGTAATGCAATTAAATGCAAAGGTGCAAGCGAGTTGGAGAGGAATTGACGAAAATGATGCCTGGAGAAGGGGAACAAGGGGGACAAAGGACAAACACAAATCTTTTTCGAAGGCCGCGTTTTCGCCGGTGAGAAATCGGTGAATCTCTGACAGACGCAGGACAGGTAAAGCAGCCATCGCTTTGTCTAGCAGACGTAAAGCAGACAACGTTAACTGCGCCAACTGCGCCAACCCGCCGACGCCGTTAAAGAGTGAGGAGTCCTCCCCGCACACGAAAGGAGGGAAAAAAGTATTTGGGAGGGAACTTGCGTACACTAAGCACCCTCACCTCTCAGTTCTTAGCAAACAAACCTTGGCGCCTCGGGACACCCCGCCAGTGAGTCCTTCGACTTCTCTCTTTGATGCGCGCCTGCTAATTGTTAGACAAAAACAACGTACCGATCGAGTTATTTCGTCTGCCCTCTCTGAAAGGCGAAGTCGAGCTCGCTCGTAAAGACCTGCACTTCCGAAAGTTGCAGGAAAGGTAAGACAGACGCAGACGACGTTGCGAGCAGGCGACGTTGCAAAGGAGCAGACGACGCTCAGATAGGGGGTCGCGATCAGCCAATCAGGGTTCGGCGTTCTGACGTCACCCCTACCCCCTGCGCAAGAAGCAGACGAACTTGCCCTCCGCATACAAAAAAAAACCTCTACCTGAGCCCCCGGCACACAGCTCCCATCGTAGCAGGTCGCCTATAGGAAGTAGTCACTGGGCGCCATATTTGCGGGTGCTGTTTAGAGCGCATGCTCAGAACGAGCTGACATCAATAGGCTGCTAAGACCGGCACTCTTGATGGTGCGGAATGCACGTTGCAAAAGAACTGTGAAAGCTCGCCATCAGCACGCGCTCACATTCGCGCACACGGCTATGGCCGCCAGTGAATACTCCCTGTACTCCGTTTCACCTTATGTTGTACCGCAGCGAAGGCTAGAAGCACGAGCTCATAGCGTTGGCAGCTGCCCTTAACACACGAGAGCTCGTGCCGCCGATATCTCTCCCAGAGCAAGGAGCTCGCGCTTGTGGGCTCTCTTGTGGTACGTCATAAGGGGAAATGGAGTATAGTTCATGGTGGCACGTGCGGAATCTTCATCGCCCTCCTTAGAAAGTTAAACTATTTTTCTGATAATGCCAAAGACCCATGGCTTACACATTTGCTTCCTCCGCTGATTATGCGGTAGACCTCTATAACTTCCCGAGTTGTCTTGCTTTTACTCCTCCCTATAATTATGGAGTTGTTAAAAGACGGTTGACGCTGGCGCTCTAAAGTGAATAGACTACTTCCATAAATCAGTCACCCTGAGCTTTGCATTCTGGTAACCTGTAGGCCAGGAGTGGAGTGCGCATAAAATTAGCTGCCTACTGATTCCTACAGTGCATAACGCATTACGCAGCGATGAGACGCCTCCACACACTTAAAATTTTAACACCCTTATTCGTGTAAATGGTTCGTCCTCTGGCTAACGCCTTTATTTGTGTAAGGGTGTTAGCCGCCGGAGGTGAAGAAAATCGTGTAACTGCTAACACCCTAAAAACAATATGGCGGCCAGTATGCGACAGGCGATACAATTAAAAGACTTGGCGAGCCGTACGCGGCTTCTCGCCGGAGCAAGAGCATATGGCTCGCACGCTCGTTTGGTGTCATCTGTAGGCGCAAAAACCTTTCCAGACATCTCTATGTCAAATCGCCGACACCGCAAGTAATACGAGTAAGGCCGAAACCGCTGGAGGCTGAACAGCCGAGATTGTCGCCGAAGTCTCGCTCGGCCTGCTCAATGCCGGTCGCATTTTCATCGCATCAGATGCGTTCATAAAGAAGGGATAGCTTTACAAACACTGACAGGCGGGCTTTATCGAACACAACGCCCACTTGCCGTGGACGACAAGTTGACAACGAATCGCTCCGACACCCTCTGTCGACAGCGGCTAGGAGGTACCGCATTCGCGCTCCGTGTGGCTCTCGATTAACTATTGCCCGTGCTCACCTCTGTTACGTGCGTTATCCACTCATGAACGTTTGTGCGTGAACAGCGGCATTCAGCACCTAGAACATGCGCTGGGGAAGCCGCCTAACCTCCTTTTGTTGCAATCAGGCAGCATAAAACGGCGACACAGCTACCAATAAATCGTAGTGATCAACATGACGGATGGACTAATGGAATCAAGCCCTCTAATAGTTGTAAATCGTCAACCGCAACACTTTTCAAATTGGGCGGCGACAACCCCCATCTAGTGACGAAAAAAAAAACATGATAAATATTTGAAGAAAAAAAGCAACTTTTTCTGCTGCCCGTCGCACGGCCACATTCACTTACGACATGGACATACACACCACACTGCACATACACACAGACACACGCGCGGATACAAGCACTGAACAATTGCACAACCCACAACAAATATTACGTACAACCTACTTACACAAACCGAGAAGTGCCCCGAGCGGTATATATGCACACCTATTTTGCGCATCGCTTAGCCCAGTGACCACGCTAGTCTTAATCAAGATATGAAAAGGTTACGCCAATTTTATTTTTCAATAATATTTTTTCTGCATATGTCTTATGTAGGTACACATATCCCTTAATAAATTCTTACAGCATAATGTATTATAATGATACGCGCCTAACTTCTAGAAACTCAACGTGAGTGACGAGAAAAAAAAAATCGTGTGAATTCTGTCTGGCAACCACACTCGCGGCGTGGTTACTATGGCGACGCTGTCGGTACGCGCGCCGGCAGCCGTCCAGCTGGTTCGGCTGCGGCCGAGTGCGCGAGTCCACGGTGAACGCCGCGAACGCAATCGAGAAAACAAAGCGTCAACTACTGAAGCTGTACGTAATCGAGTTTACGCCCGTTCGCTGCCGAATTCTCCATAGTCTTCTTCCGCCCGTTCGAAAGGCCTACCAGTCCGATTACCGCCGTGGCTTCCGTGGCTTC